ATATATATATATATATATATTTAAAAATTCTTACTTCTTAAATACCTTTATATATGTGCTTTTTGTTACCATAATTTATAAGATTAACTAAATTAAATAATGTATATCAATAAACAAAAATGTTATATAATACGCAATTATATGTGATAAAAGTATTATTTTTTAAATAATTATATTTGGAATCATTTTAGTAAAAAAATTATTCTGTGTTAACCATAGTTTTAATCAGTTAAACAATCGTGTTATATTAAAAACAATTGAAATAAAATCATACAGAAGGTCCCCTAAGTTTCTGATGTGCAAATTGTTTTTACCAATTCCCAAAATCCCTGAAACATAGCAATGATCCCCAAACGCATCCTTAACCCTCCGCTTTCCCAAACTTCATCTTCCACCACCGTTAATGGCTTTCACGTTTCAGCTTCTGCTTCAATCTCCCACACTCCTCACTCTCTATCCGACGCCGTTTCCCTCTTCCATCGCACCATCAACGACCCCAATTCGCCACCCTCTGAACTAGCATGCAACTCTCTTATCGGCAACCTACGCAAGGCACGACAATACAACGTCGTCCTGTCGGTTTACCGCAAGATGGCTTCTGCGCGCGTTTCGCCCTGGTTGACTTCTCTCACCGCGTTAACCGAAAGCTTCGTCAACTCCCATCACCCAAGTTTCGCAGTTGGAGTCCTTGGCCTAATGATAAAACGCGGTTTTCGGGTTGGCGTCTATGACATGAACCTAGTGTTGAAGGGTTTTTCCCAGAGTGGTCAATGCGATAAGGCAATGGGTTTGTTTTCTCAAATGAAGAAAAATAGTGATCATGGGGTTCCTGATATTGTTACTTACAATACCCTTGTAACTGGATTGTGTAAAGCTAAAAGATTGGTGGAAGCTAGGGCTTTGTTTGAGGCAATGAAGGTTGGGGAGAACAGACCCAATTTGGTGACATATAGTGTTTTGATTGATTGTCTTTGTAAGAATGGTGAAGTTTGTGAGGGGTTGGTTTTGTTGGAGAAGATGGAGAGGGAGGGTTTGAAAGCTGATGTGTTTCTGTATAGTTCTCTAATCAGTGTCTTTTGTGGCAAGGGTGATGTTGAGAAGGGGATGGAACTGTTTGATGATATGTTGAGGAAGAATGTTAGTCCCAATGTGGTTACTTATAGTTGTTTGATGCATGGTCTTTGCAAGATTGGTCGGTGGCGGGAGGCGTCTGACATGTTGAAGGTCATGACGGCAAGAGGAATTCGGCCGGATGATGTTACTTACTCGGTTTTGGCAGATGGGCTTTGCAAGAATGGGAGGGTGGAGGATGCAATGAAGTTGTTGGATTTGATGGAGCAGAAGGGGGAGGAGCCAAGTACTGTTACATACAATGTTCTTGTGGATGGATTTTGTAAGGAGGATCGGGTGGAGGATGCATTTAGGATTGTGGAAATGATGGCGAAGAAGGGGAAGAAGCCTGATGTGGTAACTTATAATACGTTGATGAAAGGGCTGTGTAGAACTGACAAAGTTGATGAGGCGATAGATCTTTGGAAGCTGTTGGTGAGCGACAAGTTCCATATGAAGCCGAATGTCTTCACTTTCAATTATTTGATTCAGGGACTTTGCAAGAAAGGACGTCTTCGGGATGCTGTGAGGATCCATTCTACTATGGTTGAAACGGGGTTCATAGGTAACATAGTAACTTATAATGTTTTGATTGAGGGTTATCTAAGTGTTCGGAAACTTATTAAGGCGTTGGGACTCTGGAAATGTGCAGTAGACTCTGGATTTTCTCCCAATTCAATGACTTACAGAGTTTTTATTATTGGTCTGTGCAAAATGCAGATGCTGAGTATTGCAAAAGGACTTTTTATTAAAATGAAAGATTCTGGGATTAAACCTACAGTAGTTGAATACAATGCACTAATGGCATCTTTGTGCAGGGAAGATAGTCTAGAGCAGGCTAGGAGTTTATTTCAAGAAATGAGAAATGTGAATCATGATGTTGATGTTGTCTCCTTTAATATAGTAATCGATGGAACCCTTAAAGCGGGAGATACTAAACATGCCAAGGAATTGCTATCGGAGATGCCTAATATGAATTTGATCCCTGATGCCTTAACCTTTTCTATATTAATAAATAGGTTCTCAAAACTTGGGCTGTTGGATGAAGCCATGTCCCTCTATGAGAAAATGATCTCGTCTGGTCATGTACCTGATGTTGTTGTATTTGATTCTTTGCTAAAGGGCTGTGGTTTAAAGGGAGAGACAGAAAAAATCATTTCTTTGCTTCATCAAATGGCTGATAAGGATGTTGTTCTGGACTCGAAATTAACATCTACCATCTTAGCATGCCTTTATCACATGTCAAAAGATCTTGATGTAGAGAAGGTTCTTCCAAAATTTTCACAACATAGTGAACATACATCAAAAGGAACAACCATTAAATGCCACAAGTTCTTGATGAAGCTGAATGATGTTCATCCAGAACTAAAATTATTTGTTGCACGATAGTGTGTGGTTTCAGGTGCATGATACCATGGTACTCTAGTAAGTTCTTTAGTTGTCCTGTATTAAATTCGTTGCGTTGCATTTTTTATCTACTTTTATATCTCAGGTTAAATTGTAAAACTATCAAGATCATTTGGTTTCATTTCATAGTATGTGTTCGTATGTTGGGAGGCCCTTGTGTGATCTCGGATTTTGATCCCTTACCTGTTTTGTGCCTGCTCGGATCTTTGAGAAGGGTTCATATTTTTGTTAATCTTTGATAAGCTATGACCTCATTTCTGTATTCAAGTATTATTCAAAGGTGTGATTTGGAGAATTCTTTTGCCCTAATGAGACCCACGTGTGAATGGTGTCTGTTTGTGTTGTGTGTGTTTGTTTGTTCTCATACACCAACGTACATCATTGTATTTACCAAATGATGACTTACATAAATTAATGAAATATTTTTATTGGACAGATGGATTGGCAACCTGACAGTTAATGAGTTTCGAAGTCATGTGCATTTCAACCAGTTGTCATTTTATGATAAAGAGATGCAAGTGTAAAGTTCTGCATCATGGCATACAATTTCCCATTTGATACGGATATGTAACAGTCATGAATGAGATTTGTATAGTGTCTTCTTACAGGTTTACTTCTATCACTGTCTGCTTTTGAAGTAGTCAGAAATGTCAGAATGACTACCCTTAAGTCTCTTTTTCTGTCATTTTTATGCAAGGATAGATACTAGATTGTGTTAATTCGTTTGGAGTTTAGTGCTCAACCAAAAATTTAAAATAGGTCACTCTGCCCAACTATGGTAGCACTAAACCCATTTTAAACCAACTATAATTAATCACTAGCAGTACTCCTATTGCCCACAATTTGGTTTCTCCATGGAATTTTCTGGCATTTGTCTCACAGTTCATCTAGCTTAATAATGCTACTTTTCTGATATGTTCTCACAGTTCATTAACATTTGTTGATTGATAAGTCTCGGTTTTGTAGTATTTTTATAGGCTTAAGATTGTCTCCTTGGGTTTTAGTTTGCTTTTATTTCTTAGTTTTCTGTGCTGACCCAAATTTTATTTCCTTGCATAACGGTAATTAATAGTTGTTGAGTGCCTATTTACCTCACCCTTTTGGATCATCTTTTGTCATGTCAATTTTTCGGCTTTCAATAATTAAGTTCTGGCCGAAAGTACGAGGCTTTGGTCATTTGCACTTGGTTTTTGGCTTGAAGGGATAATCTAAGTGTGATTTTCTTGCATCTAGAGAGAAGAGAAGCTGAGGTGATGGTGATGAAGGAGAATGACGAGGAGCTTTCTTTGTTCCTCATATGAGGAGGAGAGAGAAAGAGAATGAGAAAAACAACCTTCTCGTTGAAAACTCTGAAGAACTTCATTTGTCCAATCTGGGTATGTTTTTCTTGACTTCAACTTTTGATTACTGGTGGGGTGCGTGATTTGGACTTGTGAGTTTATAGATCTTGAATATTCTAATAATTGAACCAAGGTTTTCTTGAGCATTTCGTTTTGTGTATAATCTGATGTAGAAAAAGTCAAGTCTAGATGGAAGCTGTCATAATAGCAAAAGTGAAATCCAGGAATTGCCAATTTTTTAGAATGATTAAAGTACATTGTTGAGTTTTTCAGCTGTCCCCATTCGAAGCTGAAAAGTCTTCTTAACCTCTTCAATTTTGTCAATGACAAGTTCTGGTTGCACATCTAACTCCAACTTCCACTTTTATGTTCCTGTTCTTATCAACCACCCGGGATAAATAATTCATAATTAATTTGTTTCTTAAATATTTTATCTGTCAATCACACTCCTTGCAATCAATGGAGCTTTGCAATTTCCAATTTTAGTGCATGCTTGAATATGTGCTGAAAGTTTCTCCTAAGAAACAAATCTAATACTTTTCACGTGTCTTCTTGTGATATTGATGCCTGTTCGCAGACAAGAAAACCTATAATCACCTTAATCTTAATCTTTTATGATTTCAAATGCAAACCTTTAGAGGAGGAATCAGAAATGAAGTCTATATTTTTTGCACAGTGCATTCATCCTTTCGTTTATTCGACTTTTCTGGTATGCTATTCTATAGCAATTACCCTACATACCGAAAAGAACCAAGTTGCATAACAATATATTAGCAACGTTTGTATTTTACCTCATTCCTAGTTTCTGCATCTATATTACATTACCATTACCATTTGGGTCCATCATAATTACATTGTATTGACTAGGAGTTTTCTGTTATCAGGCTTCTTGCGCCACCAGATTCACCTCTTTTTCCTACTTTAGAGAAAGAGTCGCAAATATCAGTGAAGAGTGAACAGGAGACTCATAATACTCGTCCAACAGCTTTGAAACCTAGGGTAAGCACCATTATATATGATTTTTAGATGTTGATGAACCATATCAATTAGTTGGATGCACATACTCATAGCATAGACTTTGTCTACACAATTCTGTCTGTTATTAGTTGAAATTTATGTAATGTTATGAAATCATATGTAAACTTCATTAAATCAGAAGTGAGGCTCATCAGTTTTTGTGAGTTCTTATAAACTTGAACTAATAATAAAGCATTTGTTTAAAGTTCTGTTTTAGAGACTATGTTACTAGCATCTTGCTTTCATTGCTTGTAATACATTCTCCTTTTTTGGTAGGTTTAATTAATGAAATGCTTTCCACTTTCTTCTTATGTGCATCTTGCTTTCATTTGGTTGTAATACATTCTCCTTTTTTGGTAGGTTTAATTGATGAAATGCTTTCCAGTTTCTTCTTATGTTGCATCCTGTATCTCAGGTGGCTAATATCCAAGCAGAACCTGCTTCAAGAGGCAATATAGTTTTGGACCAGAGAGAAGTGAGTTCATTTTAGTTTTAGATTTTCTTCATTTTTCTCTGAAGTTGGGAAAGCGGACAGTATCTCTTCATGCGTTCCAGCTTCTACCTTCTCTTTTGTTCAAGTTGAAAATCAACGAAAAAACAGATTTGTTTCTTCCTCTTATTCTCTTCTATTTTATGTTTTATTTGGAATAGTCTGAGTGATGAAAAGTAGACATTAGGTTTGATTTGCTGTTCATTCTTGTATCTACTTTGACTTCAATTTCTGATTGCAATTGATCTAAAGGATCTTCAGAATCCAAGAGTTCAGATTTGAACTACTTAGCAGTCAAGCTTGAAGATATCATGATCAAACTTGAATTTACGAATTATTTTATTAAGATTTTCCAGCTTTTGTTCTATAATCTGAATTTTACTTTGCAATTCTGATTCTGGTTACTATTTCATGTTTTATTCTCATGCGATAACAAACTTCCAAATCATAAACCGAATTCTATTTCAGTTTGTTAGGTTTCCAATCAAGAAACCTAAAGAAAATCTCACTAACTCACGACTGAACACTGAATAACCTCCACACGTATTATTAACAGCAAGAAAGTCAGATACAAGGTAGCTATGGGAGCCTAACCTCCCCCACAGGAATAACGAATCCTGTACAAAGAATACAAGTAGTCAAAAGTGTCTTTCAGCAGATAACTACTTCCTATATATTTAAGTCTAACCCGCGCCCTTTCTAACTGTTAAGACAGTTAGAGTAACTAACTCTACTAACTCTTCCTTCTCCTCTCATAGACTCTTAGTCTCCTATCATTACCCCCTCCCTCTTCAACAATCTTGGCCCCAAGATTGAGCTCCGGATATTGGTCTTGGATGACCAATCTGTCTTCCCATGTAGCGCCTTCTCTCCCACCTTCTTGCCATTCGACCAGGACTTGGTGTACTACATCTTCTCCTTGCTGTAGCTGCCTTTCTTCTATAATCCTGATTGGCCAAAAGGTTGGCCCCTCTGCCTGCAGTTCTGCAGGTTTAACTATGAAATCCATGCTCACCTCTTCCCATACCACCTGTGGAATAGGTAAGGGTTGTAGCAGCAATGCAATTTTTCATTCCAGATCTGATTTCTGAAGTTTTATTTAGTTTCTTCATTGCTTTAGCTTTAGAATCTTGCACGAAACATTACCTGTATGATTGATTCCAGTTTTACAT